GGGGAAGGCGGGTCTGGAAGGACCTGCCCCGCCCGCGGAGAAGCGAAACAACGCGCGCTTTCTGCCTGCCTTTTTTTTATTTAATTTATTTATTTTTCAAACGTCACTGGCAATCCCCTGCTTTCGGGGAGACTGAGTCATCGCTTCTGGCTGCTCTTGCTGGTGCGGGCGTTGTGATGGAGGCTCTGATGTTGTGCTGCTCGGGACAGCCTAAGGACCTCAGCATCTTAAACCCCATTCAGGTGTTTCTGCTGCTGCTGCCACCAGCTCGGTGTCTGAGCACCCGGAGCAGGGTTTGCAGGGGACTGCAAGCAGCTCTTTACCGGTCCCTGCAGCGGGAGGCAGGCGTGGAAATACCTGTGAGGAGCAGAGCCGACCTGCCACGGCACAGACTAAGCCCACTGTGACCTGACTCTGCTTCCCTCCTTCGCGCACATTTCAGAGGGCAGTTGCTCGTTTTCTGAAGGTACCTTTGATTCTTCCCCTTATTTCCTGTTTCCGTGGGTTGCTGTACTTGCTGATGTAAACCTCAAAAACCTGAGATCTTAAGGACGTAAATGATGATGAGGACCGTGGCTTCCAGGCAGTGCTCCAAGGCAGTGTTTCTGGACCTGTGTGCTCTGGCTGACCGTGGCATCAAGGAGGAGTTTTGTAATGGTGGCACTAGCCTGGGAACACCTATTTTAAGTCACTGGCACCACCTTGGTAGATACAGCCTGTTTCACCACTGCCTTGAAGAAGCTGAGCCACTGTCAGCAATTAAAGGTAGTTAGCAGTCCCCTGGCTAGTGTAAGAACCCAAGCCAGTAATTATGACTCAGTCGAGGCAAGACATCTTAAAAGAATGCAAATGAGTCCCAAGAAAAGTAATTCTTGCAAAAAAGTTCACTACCACTCTAGACACACAGTAGTAATTACACATACAAATAAGAAATAGCAAAAGGACCTGCTAACTTACTAAACAAGAATTTCTGTCCCTTGTCCTTATGAACAACAAAAAGAAATGGGAAAGTTCAACTTTCAAGTGCACTTGTGGCCTGCTAGGCTTCCTTAATTTGTTCAAAAGTATTGATTAGGCTTGTATGCACCGAGGACAGAGAGCCTGGTATCACCTGCCTCTCTAAAGTGCCATCTTCCTCTGTTAGCCTCTCATATGTTGCCAGAAAAGTGACAGAAAAAAACTCCAATCATTGGACTTTGCACAAATCCTACAAAAAGGATGTGACTGAGCTCACCTGAAAGTTTATTTGGTACACATTTGGAAGGTCCCCTTTCACAGTTCCCAAAAATGATTCTCAGTGTAGTGCTGCAGTCAAATGTACCTGATGCAGAAATACCTGTTCTCTGCATCGTCCCTTTTAGGCTCAGCAGCGTGTTAGCCATCTTTTTAGGAAGCTGGGGCAGGGCATGTGTGGACATCAGGTAGAAATGTACCTCTCTAGGTTGAAAAGTTTTGGGAGATGTGGAGCTGATACCCATTGGTCATCTCTTGTTTCTTTCCCTCCTCTTCCTCTGCTTTGTTTTTCTTTGTCCTCTTGCCTCTGAACTGCAGTAGGTGAGAGATGGAAGATTTTGAATGAAGTTTCGGTTGTTCTTTTGAATTGGGGGCTTGTTTATTACTTTGGT